TACTCAGATTATTGAAGTTTATTTCTCAATAACATGAACAATTTGTTCCAGGCGGTCACCAGCGGTACCTGTGCCGGAACACGAGTGGACAGAGGAGTATGACTACGTTAGACTGGAGTCCCGCTCGGCGGTAGGCCGGCGTAATGCAGAGATCAGGGCTGCGCTGCCGGACAAACTAAGGGCTTCCTTCGACGCGCTTGTCCGAGATGCCGATCACGCGGGCGAGGTGAGCATTCCGTATATTTTGAACATTGCACAAATGTGCCCCTACTTATTTATTTATTAATATAAACACAGAACAAAACAAAAGAATAAAAACCATGAATTTAATAAAGCTGAGTATGCTTTTAACCAAATTGTTAACAATAAATTATTTGCCTTAGGTAAGCGCAGTGGCCGCGGCTACTAGGCTCCCCGCGGACGACCGTCAGTTGGCTGCGTTCTACGCGGCGCAGGCCGCCACGTACGGCGCCCACCTCGCCACCGCCGTGGAGGCCTTCCTCCGCACTATAGAGATGGGCCAGCCGCCCGACGTCTTCCTAGCACACGGCAAGTTCGTCGTGCTCAGTGCGCATCGGATCGTGCACGTCGGCGACACAGTACACAGGTACCTATATAATTCATTTTTCTAATTAATGTGTTTAAGCTTCACTTGCTCAATTTCTATTAGATATAGGTATTTTTTTTATTGTTGACTCATATATTTTGTTCGTCCATAGGAGTGCCCGCCACGCTGGACTGAAGACCCAAGCACTGAGATGTTCGGACGCACTGTCGGATGCGCTGGCAGCGACGGTAGCTAAGACCAAGGCGGCCGCGCAGCAGTTCCCGTGCGCAGGCGCAGTGGGCGACATGGCGGACGCGGCGCGGGCGCTGGCGGCGCGCGCGGCCGAGCTGCGCCGCGTGTTGGTGCGCGCGGCGGACCCCCCCGCGCCGCCCCCGCACTCCCCCGCGCCGCCACACTCCCCCGCCACGCCTGTTCCGCCTTCTGCGCCCCACACGCCGCTCACGCCACTCACGCCGCTAGCCTCGCCGCCCACGCTGCAGATATAAGCCCTCGAAGGTGACCTCAGTATGTGTGGCTCGACGCCGAATAATCTTGCTCGTACCTGCTGCGGGCAAGCGGGAGGACCATTTCGGGCTGGAAGCTATCCGTCAGTCCCGATCCTCGAGCCCCCGGGGAGGTGATGAGACTGAAGACCTCGCGCTGGTCGTGGTTCTGTTCCTACCTCACCTGCGGGGCGTTTCTTTTAGATACGCTAGGCCCGGCGTCCGCTTAGCCAAGAAGCGAGTTCGGGTGGAGTGGACGCCCTCGTGGCACCCCCTATGAGTAGCATTACCAAAGAAGCAGAGACGGGCCTAATGAAGCCTGTCGACCTAGACTGCCGGAATGTTGACGAGAAAAATGCAGTAAATTCTATTTAAATGTTAGTATTTATACGTTTATGATAAATTGAAGGCTGCTACTAGGACTTTTTGTTTGTGAAGCGTTTCGCCAAGGACTAGGAAGGCGAGTTAAAAGTTGCTGGATGCTCATTTTGCCGTAGTGAGTTGAGTTGTCCGTCCAGTTTTATACAATTTTGCAACAGAACCATATTCGTAGAACGAGTTAGTGAAATTGTAAAGTGAGGCATATGATTTTGCCGAAATTAATGGAGACGTTTTAATTCAAACGAGTTACAAGTTAATTACTCTTAAAAACTCCTGAAATGATGATGCACCTGAATGCAAGTGAATAATAATCGTATGTGTCCATACGCTTGCGCTAAGAGAAACGCTGTTGCGATGTCTCATCGCTTCCTTGCTGATTTACGAAGTAACTAATGCGAGCACAGTTGAGCGCCTAAAGTAATTAATGGATGTGCAATTTGTGATCATGTTAACAAAAATATTGAAATAATTAGTTTGGGCCAGATTGTACTTGTAGCATTGTGATGCCATTTGCCTCTCGTGTGACGATAGCCACAATATTGAGGGTCAGAAACGTCGCATACATGAATTTAGCGAGACAATATTCTTTTACTGTATACAACTAAACAATTGTTTGAATGTTCCTTGTAAATGGCTCAAAGTTTAACAAAGTATGTTTGTGTGTAACATTCGTGCGGAGGTCAGGTCTAGAGGGAATAGTTTCGTTAGCCGCCAGACTGACTCAACAGCTCAATTATAATAAATTATGTTAAAGCTCACCTTTATATACTTGTGGCTTCTCATTACTTACCTACTTACCGCAATAGCGTTACTGTATGTACCTACGTACCTACGTTTTGTACTTTATACATATGACACTAGTAGATAGACGTAGGGTTATATCAATGTAAAAAGCATGTTGTATATTAGCGATGTGTAATATATTTTAGACGTTGTAGTTTAGTTAGGTATAGATGAAATTGTACAAATGCATATTAATAATTTTAATATTGAATTATAATTTAATCATCTTGTAAAACGCAATCAAGTAAAATATACAAAATTTTCGTATCTACAACTTGTGTTATTTTATCATCCTTACCTAAGTTATTCTGAGTTTAGCAACATTCTCCTTGAGGCAAGGTAACGGGAGTTAGCGATCACACGGGCTACCATCATCCCGAGTGCTCCAGGGACAAGTAATAGTTTCTTATCTTCAGCTTTCCTTTATAGACTGGTCGGAGTGAACGATGACGAGGTATAGCTTGCCTTCATTGGCCGTCCAGAGTGGAGTCGCGAGCGTAGTGATCCTGTTCAGCGGTTGGAGGACGTTCTTAACTTTAAATAATTTGAAATCATCAGCATAATATTAAAGCGAAATGACATTCGTAATTGCATCACGAAGATCGTTAATTATTAATATGACAAGGATAGGGTCGACTACTGAACCTTGACTTACCTACACCCGAGCGAGCGATGTGGTGTGGGAGTTACTCGTACAAAACTAATCTTAAGTACGAATTGTTATCGGTCCCGCAAATAATATCTATGCATGAAGCGTTAGGAGGACCTATCGTACTGCGCTTTTATTATAGCTTACATTCCATAACCGTGGTGAATGATATGTTCTTATAACAGCTTTTATGTCGCATCACTCCGCAAAACTGCAGACATGAGTTTCCAACAAAGAAAATAGAAACAGACAAAATATGTAGGTAGGTACATAAAGGTATCACAAAATCAATTTTCCATATACCGTTTTGCCTTCGGCTGAAACGCGTTATTACGTCATATGCGTCGATGGGTAGATAGCTTTTTAGGAACGTGGAGAAGTGCCACCTTTAATCATTGAAGAACAAAGATCAGTGGCACTTCTCCATATCATTGTTCTAAGTTTGAAATATGTGTGTGAGCGCCTAAATGTAATATATAATGACACTTAGAGTATTTTATGTTAATGCTGAAGACAGTATTTTGAATACTTTATTTATTTCAACAGTAAAAAGTATAATGTAATGAAAAACAGTATAATAGGTACTGTTTTTAACAGTAGGTATAGTTGGCAACCCTACTTTTGGGTATGAAAAATCTCATGGTAGGGTCGACAGGACGATTTTTCCCTGAGACAAAAAAGGGGTCGACAGGAGGTTCCGAAGATCACTTATAACCTGTTGAATCTGGAAGAAGAATGTACCTACCTACTATAGCTCTGCAGAAATAGTTTTGAGCAAGCTCCTTAGTTGGTCTTAAAAAAATTGTCGATATGTTACGTCCATATTTTATCTTTTATATTGTAAAATACCTGCCTAGAGACAAAAGAGACTCTAGTCGAAAAGTGACCTCAGATGAAATGTGACAAGCAGCTTTAGCAGCGGTAAGACCTCTCTTTGAGGAGTGGCTAGAGACGCCATTGCTTCCTCAAATGATGACAATCTGAATCAGGTACATACGGACAAGGGAACTTCTGTAAGTACCTGTTTTAGATCTGGCGAAAGAAAATGTCCAGATGAGGGCTTTGTGAGGACCACCCACAGTGAACACGGTGGATCATACGTGGGCTTAGCACGGCCGTGTCCTCAGGGAAATAATCTGAGAATGAATGAGAGGAACTGGGAAGCCCTTTCCACTTTCTGTGAAGTAGTGAAGAAAACGGATCGCGTAGAGGTATCTTCACCACCATAACGGCGAGCAAGGGTAGCTCGCCGCCCGACCAGAAACAGGCCCGAGCATTCTGCGCGCGCTTCTTAGAGCCAACAGACTACCACAGGTGGGGTCCAACAAGAGCAATAAGTCTGATTTTTAGCCAGGGAAGTGCAAGTAGGAAGATACGCGAACGGCTTCGGTTTAGAGCAGGAAATGGAACGAGGTCGATTTTAGTCAGTAAGAGTTTGACATTCCACTCGCCTCATCCTGAGCGAGAGAAGTAATTTGATGATGTTTTCCACTTAAAAAGTGGAGGGTGAGGACATGCCATAGTATCTCTCAAGCCACTCCTTAAAGAGGGGTTTTGCTGCTGCTATAACAGCGTGTGGTCGTGGTGGCCCGGAGGTTAAGGAGCCCGCTTCTCATAATGTTACTTTATCCGAGTTACCTATATGTACTTTCTATGATTATTTAGACACCACTGCCACGCGGTGAAGGTAATCATCGTGAGGAAACATCGACTTATAAGTTTGAAATCGCCAACCAGCATTGAGCAAGCGTGGTGATTAATGCTCTAACCTTCTCCATATGAGAAGACAGGCTGATGATGAAAACAGCGTGTACGGCCCTCGGATGACTCACACCTTGGATTCACAGTTGCATCGACATCTCTTCTGTACATATTATACTTCTAGCATCTTATTCGATGAAAATCGTGAGATTTACCTCGATATTTCAATTTCATCTAAATAAAGGAAAAGTCAATTTTTTTACTATTATTGTATGGCATTAGCAAGATTTGCTTATGGTCCCATAACAAATTAAATAAAATCCTAACTAAGATAAAATCCTTCATGAGTCTTATTCATAAGTTGCAATAATAGATCTTCCTTTTTAATAGACAAAAAGACGGCAGACAAGCCGAGGACAAGAGAAATACGAGCACATTATTGTAATTAGATCGTTTACTCGAAATTCAATATTTTCTAATAATTTAACCTCATGGCTTTTGAGTATAATATTTACATTTCTATTATCATTCATTATTTCAGTTCGACATAATATTTTGCATTATTTTTTAATTTTAATATCACTGTTGCCAGTTCTATACTATAATTATTTTCAACTAGTGTGGTATTGGTGTAGGTAGTGTTGTGCCCTTGTTTCTTCGGCTGTGTAGGCGAGAGCAGGATGGGCAGAGGGAAACTTCATTTCTGCTGCAATTGCCTCCAGCCTCGCTGCCCTCAACTTCAAAGCAGTCTCTCTAGCTTTCGACTCACGTTCAGCCGCGTCAGCTTGTATTAAATCCTCTATCCTTTTTCTCTTTAACTGTAATCAAAAACAGATTTTAATTATTCACTTTATTATCTTCACAATAAAGGCGGATTTTGTTAGTTAATGGGTTTACATACCTTAGCAGTTTCTAGTTTGTAGTTTAATAATTCAATTTTTAACCTCACTATTTCCTTGTTTTCAAATTCACTAATGGAATCTGTAAAATAAAGGAACGACAAATGATGAACAGTCGATTTAGTAAGAAGCCCGTCAAGGGAGAGCAGACATATCACCTGTTGACAACTGATTGCTTAAGCCTTAATTTCCATTTACGCTCTTGGGGCTCAAAAAAGGTTTTGTTTCGTTTGGTAGCCCCGAATCATTACTCTTACAGCAAAACATTTCATAACAGCGAAGCGCTAAATAGATGCAAGAGTATAGTGACGCTTTACCCGGGCCATTCTATGTGTAAGCATGTTTCTCCCACATACATAATATATGAGCTGCTGCGTGTGAGCTTGGCCATATTCTCACTAATAATAATAATTTGCCTTATTAAGGGATTTGAATACGAGAAACGCTGGTAGACAATTATACTTGAGTAACACACATATATAAGTGTGTCGGTTCAACTCCCCAAAAGGTCGGCAACGCACTAGTAACTCTTTTGTTGTTGGGTGCTTACCATCAAGTAATCCGAAAGGTCGTTTGCCATCCTATTACATTAAAAAAATGTAGGTACTACATAAGACTACTTACTTGAATTAAATTACTATACAAATAAAGATTACATTAAAAAAATGTAGGTACTACATAAGACTACTTACTTAAACCTATTTCGGTGTTTAGTACAGTGCTTAGCGGATCCAGTGTCGTGTTGACGTCACTGTTGCTGGACTTATTGTCAGCATCCATTTGGTCGTCCAGGTCACTGTCGTTGTCAGCATCCATGCTGCTTCGACATTCGAATAACGGTTCAGATTTTATTTTCTGAAATTTTATTTATCAGTTTAGGCTTTCATGTTTTTTGGTGTATGTGGTGGATTGGTCGCTAGACAGATGGGTTTCGGGATTTGAATATCAAATGACTTCTCCCGCCCAGAGTCGGGCGGGAGGGAGTCTGCACAACGTGCAGACTCCGGGGGAATTCCGCGGGGTTTTTAAAAAGATTATCCGATACTTGACTCTTAGTTAAAAAACCCCTTCTTCTGCTCAGGGCCAAGGCCGCGGTGTTACATTGCGCCTACCCGACAACCCCGGCTAAACATCAGCCCTGTAGGCCCCTGTCTGTCGTGGTCTGTCTATTGGCTCTTTGGGGCGCGCGCTGAACTCTATGCGCGTTACGCTCGGGTCTAGTTCTGGATGGGCTGAGAGCTACCCTTACACTCCGTCCGTAGTACCGCCCTTACGGAGACCGGAGGTCGTCTCGCGGGGATTTGAATCCTAAAGTCGTGCAATTAATGTTACCTAGTTGCCGAAGCCGATTTTTATATCACTTTTATACATATATAGGTACTTTATTCTGTAAAGTTGCAATTAAAACTTAATAGCACAGTTTTAAGTTACAAGTTACGTAATACAAATAAAGTAAAATGCTTACACTACCAGAATCTTCTAGGCTATGACTTTTCTTTGCGAATTCCTTGAAATAGTTTTTGATGTTACTACTTTTTACCATTTTCCTCATGTTTGAAAACTTTGTTCTGAGAACTTTTGGGGAACGTTTTTGTGGACTCAGTTTGTTATATGAATTTGAAATCTGAAACAAAATGATAATTTTTACGCTATTTTAATAGATATACCTAGTAACTGAAGAGGACTGTGTATAAGCGTGGGAGAGCCATGCTTCGGCACGAATGGGTCGGTCGGCTCGACCAGAGTGAGACCACGGCCTCACAGAAAACCGGCGTGAAATAACCACAGCGTTGTGTTTAGCCTTGTGAGTGAGTTTACCGGAAGCCCAATCCTTACCCTCCCCAATCCCTAAATCTCCAAATAAGGCCGGCAACGCCCGTGTTACTCCTCTCCTCTGTTGTTCGTGGGTCCAGTGGCGGCGCTGATAGCTCGGTCTTTTTTTGTCACAAACGTTGCCCCACACTCGGATTTACTATTTTAACTTATTATTAACTATTTACTTTATTTTATAAGTAATGTATTATTTTGTAATCCTTTCTAAATTATATTGTCAGCCAAATAATGTTTGGAGAACGCCTATTTGGTTTTTTTTTAAACTTCTTAAATGGCATTTGTAACATGTTTGAAAACTCCATTATCCATTAATTATAACCATTTGTTGGTGGTCATTTTACAAACACAATTTTGAATGGATAATATTTTAATAAATTTAAAAAAAAAGGCCAAGAACACTAGAGCTAAAAAATCTGATACTAACCCGTTCCCAAGCACGATTTTTCATTTTATTAAAGCTTGCTGTGTTTGTCTTTGAAAATACAATATTTTTTTCTTGCCTCACACATTGGAGTAACAAATTGCATTCATCTGGCGAGAAGTTTATCGACCGGCTTACAAATCTGTAATTGAATTTTATTTTCATAAGTAATGTACCTATTTTAAGAATAACATTAAAAAATAATTGTATAATAATTTTTTTATTACACTTCGCTTCTGAAATTTATTTTTGTACCCTTGTTCCACTGACTTTGGAGCTTAGCTCCAGCTGCTTTCAATAGATACCATATGCAGCAACTATTATCATCATCATCATCAGCTGGAAGACGTCCACTGCTGGACAAAGGCCTCCCCCTTAGCTCTTCAAGTCGAACGACAAGTTGCCATGTGCATCCATTGGCTCCCGGCGACTCTGACGATGTCATTGGTCCACCTAGCGGGAGGTACTATCATCTAGTACTTATAGTATATGCCTAAGTTATACTTTGAAAGCATTTACTTGGCTATTACTATTATTTTATTGTCATTGCTTAAGTGATATACATATTATTTATCTCAGGCAAATTAAATTAAATGATATGCCATAATTACCTTTCATTTGCACCATCTGTAAATAGAAAATAATTTGTGTACAACATAAGTATGTATTGAATATATTTTGATCTTTTATCTCTATAGTAATGTACTTAAACTCATTTTTGCACAAAAATAAAGGTATATTTTTATTTGCGTTATTATTATAATCTTTTCTTTTCTTAAAAAAAAAAATATAATTATTTAATTTTTAAATATAAATATAATTTTTATAACTACACTTTATTTTAGACTTTTGCACCAGTTTGACAAACTTTTATCTAGGGCTGCTTTCATCATACCCAATTTAATTTATATATTAAAAGCTAGTGTACTTAGATATTATAAAATACTAACCGGTTGAAGAATCATTAGAATCCTTGTCTTCATTACCATTCCAGGGTCTATCATTTGATTCTTTATGATTTTCATTTTCTGAAACTATAATAAAATAAAAAGGTGTTTTACAGGGTATAATACAAGTGGAGATAATGAGAGTGACTTAATTATTATTGTTTAAAATAGATTAACATCTAAGAAAAGTATATTTACTTTTCTAATTATTTTTTGAAAAATCATATTATTAGCACTTACCATTTAAATCTTCGCTAGACTCTACAGGGTCTTCCACATTGCCTGTGTTGTTCTCCACCTCGCACATCATAGCCACCATTTGACTAGTTGTCTCATCGAATTCATTGTGGCTCAAATCCATTAAATTTTTTGACATTGCCATTCTTGCCCTTTTCTTCATGTTATCCCATTTTATTTTTAAACAATCTGCCGACCTTACGTGACTTATTCCTTGTCGATTAAATGTTTTAGCTATTTTCATCCAAGCTACCTCTCTTGCACGACAAGCGGCTGATGTTGTTGATTTGTTAAAAATTATGGTCTTATATTTATCGACAATATTAAATAATGCCTTCACTTCTTCTCTGCTAAATGTAGGACTTCTGTGCCGGCTGTAATATCGAATGTTATTTGTTATTTATTGAGAGGGTAGAAATACTCGAAGAATATTCTATATTCTTTTATGATTCAGGTACTCACAGGTACGCGGGTACCGAAGGTTCATCTTGTGCTTCCTCATCCATTTTTAATAGAAGGTACTAAACAAATAAATTAAAAGGTAATAAATAAGACTCCTTTTTAATTTCAGGTGATAATTTGTTGTATTATTTACATCTAGTAAATGTCAAACATAGGTTTATCTCTTTGATAATATTATTATTTTTACTAATTTTTTGACAATTACGAGATGTTTGATATATCGGCTTTTTAGGAAGTGGAAATCTTTCAATGAAATGCACTATGGCAACTGTAGTATGAGCGGTGGCGGCGTGCTACATTTTCAGACGAATAAATTAATGTCATAATTTAGAGGTTATGTCGGAAGAATAACATTGTTTTGAAGAAAATTAAGATTTAAAAGTACGTAAAATAGATTTTTAGTTACGTTATAGTACTTAATCTGTGAACCTTTGATACCTTTATTTGTTTTTGTGGTAGATTAACGTACAATGAATAATTTTATGATTGCCCTTTATGGAACCAAAATGGCGCTATGAAAATTACGAGCAGTAAACACAGCTCACGTTAAAATCTGACACGCTTCTTACGACTGATAATTTTAATTAAAGAGATAGTGATTCTTCTGGTAAAGTGGATGTATTAACCTCGTGTTCATTACTATTAACCTATGCTTAGTGAGATATGAAGGAAGTGATACTTGCCCTTGTAACCTTCGTATGTAGCGTATTTTTAGTTTTTGTCTTTGTGTTATTTTGTAAGTAGCCCAATATGCTTGTGATTTCAATATGTTACTAACGAAATATCGTAAGAATACGATAATGGTGGATTTGATGAGTGTTATCATTAGTGACATTGTTATTGTTCTTTGTTTCAGGCTGGTACATTGTGTGGAAGTGTTGTTTATCGAAGTTCAGATTTGTGCGTGAGCTGCTAGGTGGTATGTCAGATAGCCCACCAGCATCTGAAGTCAGACAGCCAACTAAATCAAGGAAAACTCGAAGGGAATAATTGATTATAATGTAATTATGATTAATTTTTGTGATGTTTATTACATATTCACAAAATTTTATATGCGTAGTTGTATTTATGTGGTGGCGTGTTGTTTTTTTACAGAAACTAAAATGAATATTCGGTGTGCGAGGCCTAGTGACCTGATGAATATGCAGCACTGCAATCTGCTGTGCCTGCCAGAGAACTACCAGATGAAGTACTACTTCTACCATGGCTTGTCATGGCCACAACTCAGTTATGTTGCTGAGGATGAAAAGGGACATATTGTTGGTAAGTCACCACAGATATTTCAATTAAAAGTGTAAAAGTGGTGCCTTTTATGTATTCTGATTTAAATATTGTAGAAGTAAGGAAATTTGGGGCTATCACTACACACATCATTAACCTATAAGTGCCCACTGCCTTTTCTCACACTGAGAAGGTTTGAATATATCTGGGGCTATATTGGGTGCTAAATATTCATTTTCATTAAAGTTTTAGTATGTGTTCTGAAAAGATAACTTGTTTTTTCAGGCTATGTGTTAGCCAAAATGGAAGAAGATGGCGAGGACAACCGCCATGGTCACATTACCTCCCTTGCTGTAAAGAGGTCGCACCGACGTCTGGGACTCGCTCAGAAACTTATGAATCAAGCTTCACTTGCTATGGTGGAATGTTTCAAGGTATATTTGACATATGAATAAATTAATTCAATATTGAATAAACCAATACTGTTTTTATGTTTCATTTGTAAAATGCAAAATAGTTATGTACATTATTCATATTATAATAATCAAAGTCCAATTGTTCTAGTTATGTGCATTAAATTATGACTTTCTTTTATTCCAGGCTAAATATGTATCTCTACACGTCAGGAAAAGCAACAGAGCAGCACTCAACTTGTACACTAACAGTCTTGGATTCAAGATACTTGAGATTGAGCCTAAATATTATGCAGATGGCGAAGATGCTTACTCCATGATGCGTGATCTAAGCGCCTTTGCTGCAGAAAACAAGACAGAGCCTCAGCCGACCGAAAACTTAGAAATTAAATCAGAATCTGCAATTATATCACAGTGCTGATTATTATATATGTAAATAAAGCATTTAACTCTAATTTTATGTGAAGAGTTTTATTTATATTGACTCAGACTACAGTTCTATGTGGTACTACTAATATACAATCCGTGATACAATCACATCACATCTAGGGCCATAGGAATAAGTTGTAGATCACACAGACTATTTTTTTTATGCAGATAGATACATTTTGTTGCAGATTTGGCCATAATCTATCATTCAGCATTATGGCAGTATATTACAGTCCTGGAAATATTAATTTTTAGATTGAAGAGGAATATTTAGACACCTATAACTCACAGATGCTTGAACAAAACATGTTAGTTGACCAGGTTCTGTGTTGTACTGTTATTGAAATTTTATTAAAAAGTAAAACAGTACTAAAGTTTTTTAGCTAGCTTTAATAATTTAAAAAATAGGCATAAAATGGTATCTTTATTACTATAATAATATAAGTACCTAATTTTAGTCCACAGTTATTGTTAAAAATATTAAGCCGAAAAATCATTCATCATCTTCAAAGAGATGATCCAGTTTTAATTCAACTTTAGTGCATGAACTTGCAGCACTATTTGATTTTTCTTTCTTCACTAAATTTACTTTCTTTTCTTTTTTCTTTGTGACTCCTACAACATACTCAGGCATCACAACTTTATTGCTCTTGAATACTGGCTTTTCTTCTTCTGGTTTAGGTGTTTTTTTCATAGAAGATGAAATACAGAATGTTGGTTTTTTGAAAACACCATCATCTGTGTCAGTTTCCATTGATTTTTGTGCTGCTGCCTCTTTTTCTTCCAAGTCACGTATTAGTGCTAGAGCTGTTGCCGTATTTGTGGAATCTGACATTTGTTCTGGAGTGACATCAGCTAAGGAGTAATATTTATACTTTTGTGGGTTTTTGATGTGGTCAGGAATAGTTTTAGCTCTAAGGCACTCACGAATATTTGCTTCAGGCCTTTTGTAAATACTTTCTCTGCCTCTAAATGGTTTCATTTCATGTTTCAACTTTTTGTATGTGTACTTATCAATTGTACCATAGTCTTGGTGAGTAACTTTGTTTGTTTTAGAAAAACTGTATTGGTCTTCAGCTTCTTTCAAAGTGTTGAACAGGCTTTTCTGCCTGTCTTGAAATGACGACATCTTCTTATTTTTAGGACTGTAAAGAAGTAAAATTGAATTCTAAAATTGCACAATATAATAATTTGCTCGTTGAAATTTATAAGTTAGGTAATGAATATGTGGTCGAAAGACTGCACAAAATTGTTAAAATTTAATACTAAACCTACAATTATCTGTGTCAAGTGTTTTCAGTTTAGATGTTTAATCTATTAAAATTATTTCATTACAAATACGTAAATAATCCATGCATTTGTTTCGTTGTTGATAATTATGACATTGACACTTTGAAACTTGCTTGACACTTTGGGCTTTGATAGAAGTTATTTTTTTTCAGAAATTTGAAGCTAAGCCTTTATAGCAAAACTGGTTTGAATTAAAAAAAATAAAAATCAGCTGCCTGTTTACCAAAATGTTACTAGGTACTTTTAAAATAATATTGTTACGATTTTACTGTTCAGTATTAGCTTAACACGGTATTTTTATCAAGCATTATGTTATGATGAAAAAAATGTGAGATATTTTGTTTGCTTGTTCCTTGTAATCTGCTCAATGAGTTCAGTATTGTGTTCAAAGTAATGGTCTTTTTTGAAGTTCCTAAATTATATAAATGTAAGTATATAATTTAAATAAAAGGTAACCTAAAAATTAGCAGGTGTCGCTTTCTGCTTTTAAATATCTCGATAACATAATATAGCTGCTATTATTTGAGTGTAGGTAGGTACGTTTTTTTTTAATTTTGGTTCGGTATCGATTTATAATAGACGATTTAATCGACAAATAGCTCCTCTCTCGCGAGTAAGACTCTGGCTTAAAATCATCCAGCTCCTGCCCCTAATCCAGCCCGAAGCTGCAGTAACTTATTGCGCTTGCCTCGCAAGTCGCAGCCCTGGCTGAACAGTCCTCATCTGAGGTGGTTTGTTGGCGTGTCAGCCACAAACTAGGGACTGATACCCTTGCTCGCGCGACTGCGCGAACGCGCGATCGCGCGACTGTACTGCTGGAATTGATAAATTTAATGCACAAACATGTTCGGATGCACATTTGGAGATGTGGCAGATGTTTAATAATGTACCTACTTATAACATCCACCTACTTAGGTTATTACGTCTGAGTGTTGTCGAACTGACAAAGAACATAAATTATAGAATTACATTAGTATTATGGAGCAACGTTACTCACCAGCGTTCGTTTTCGACAAATACGATAAATGAATCATAACTGTGATCCCGTGGATGATCTGTAAAAATTGAGTAATGTTCTAAAAATAAGTATTATACGGAGCAGTAGAGATTGCATTGTTATTATTTATGGCATGACTAAGAAAAATATCTGTAGCTGCATTTTGGCCTGGAAAGCGTGGTCGTCAAACTGCACTATAGCTTTGATAACTAGGTAGGTACCTATTTACTGGAAAATTAAAAAGAATGTAAGAAGTTTTTGTTATTTATAGACACTAAATACCTAAATAAGTACGTCAATGAGTTTATGTAACTGAATAACGAAAATAAATATGTAAACGAAATTTTAATGTTTTTTTACTAACGAGTTAGTAGGGTACTTACCTACCTATAATAGTATTGTATGCAATATGGGTATGGGTAGTTGTCGTCTAATTTTTTTGCGTCAAAATAGCATTCAATTTTTTTCTTAAATAACCTATCCAATATATACAAAAACTACGTAACTTAGCATCAAATCAATGAATAAAAGTGTGATTGATTATTTTCAGTACCTAATTTGAAATATATAATTCATTGTTGCCTGAGAAAACAAGCTAATTGTCATCATCGCTTTATCGTCTTGTTCGCTCAAGGTGGATTGGCGATTTCAAACTTATAAATAACAATTATTAGTCCAGATTTTCTTTAGTTTAGATTATTTTTTAGTTTAGATTCCCAAATGATGTTTTCGTTCACTGTTTGCCAGTTGAGTGTGGTATAAATAAGTAGGTAGTCTTAGAAAGCACATACTTACCAACTCAGAAAAGAAAAAATCGCACCCATCTAGGTGAAAATCGGGCGCCTTGACTTTCGGACCTCCACGATGTTAATGGTAGAGTCAATAACATTGTACAGTAAGTAAAGCGAACTGAATTATCAAAGTATACCTATTCATACAACAGCTTCATTTCAAAGACTATCAGAGTCCTTGGCCAATTTTAGTAGATGCTCATAAGCTCTGACCGTTAAAATGGATTACAGCTAAAATAACAAAGTTCAGTAATTACAAGATTAGATAAAGTCATGTGTAAATGTTTTATTTGTGCCACTGCAATTTACTTAATATGTTTGGACCGTGTGAGGGATTATTTCTAACGTAGGTAGTACCTACTCACTTATGTCATTTTGAAAACAAACTTAAGTGTGGGAGAGCCGTGCTTCGGCGAGAATGGGTCGGCTCGGCCGGAGTGAAACCACGGCCTCACAGAAAACCGGCGTGAAACAACCACAGTGTTGTGTTTCGCCGTGTGAGTGAGGTTACCGGAGGCCCAATCCTTCCCCTTCCTAATCCCTCCCCAGTTCCTAAATCTCCAAATCCCTAATCCCTAAAAGGTCGGCAACGCACTCGAAACTCCACCGTTACGGGTGTCAATGGGCGGCGCTGATTGCTTACCATCAGGTAATCCGTCTGCTCGTTTGCCGACCTATTACATAAAAAAAAACTTAGGTTATAATAGATTTTAAAAAGTAGTACATATCATGTAGAGTACATATCACAATGTTCATTTTCAACTAAATTTTATTGTATGTTTAACTAAAGTTAAATACATCAATTGGTGTTACCGTGACTAATGTCTACCACTTTGATGGAAAAATACAATTATAATAAATAAGTAGATATTATACCTACTTACTTAAGTACAAGATCTAAAGAAAAGAATAGCCTACAATAACTATTATTATCTAATGTAATGTACAAATAGTACATAAATAGTAGGTACTTTGTATTTATCATTAATTTCATACACCGGAACAACCTTTGGTAAATAAATGGTAACCGGAATTGGTTACCGGTCATATTGTTAACATATTAAAATTGTAATAGACGTCGAGATTAAAACCTCGAAGTAATGTGAACGCCCTACAATGTTATTGTTATAATTTTAAATTGCGCGTGAGTCAGTGACGGCGCTTTATGCGCACGCGCATATTGTGTACGAGCACCTAACACCGGCGGCGGCATAACGTGCGAGTATGAAATAAACGAGCGAATTTATAATTGGTTTCTGTTTGTAAGGTCTACTTGTGCTTATCATTTTTATTGAATAATTACATAGAAAAAAATTTTTTTTTTTTATACAAAAGAGTTTTTTTTTGCTTAAAAATCGTTCTTATACTTTTATTTACCTATGGTCTACAGTCCAGTGGTTGATATGGGCTATTGATGATAATTAATGAATGATTAATGACACTAATTGTAATAATCTGCCCTAAAGGACAGAGCAAATGATCCTAAAGTAAAAAAAAAAACACTTTTTTACGGGGATAGTGTAGTGAACGATCACACCGATCAGCTGATTAAGGAGTTTCAATTGCGTTGCCGGCCTTAGGGGAAAGGGGGAGGACTTGGTGGTTGAGAAAATTAAGGACGAAAGGGGAACGGGGTAAAGTTTGGACCTCACGTCACTCACACGACTAATCTCAACGTACCTAAGTATTTTTTAACACCAGTTTCCTGTGACAGTGGTATCACTCCTTCGTACCGAAGCATAGTGCTCTTCCACACTTGATTGCAGATTGAGATAATTAGAAATTATAAGTCCAGGTTTCCTTGCGATGTTTACCTTCACCGTATGTCAGAGGTGTCTAAATAATCATAGAAAGTACATATAACTCGGAAAAAGTCACATTGGTACTTGCCCGGTAGGTAGTATTCTGCAGGTTAGTATTTTATGTACTGACTGCCATCGATAAGGGATTCTTTTTTAAAGACTTTGCAGAAATTTGCCGTATTTGGGGGTAAGTTCGGTGCTATTATGAGTACCTAATATGAATACCTACTGAGATGTCTTGAAATTAAAAGAGCTTATCTCTTACGTGAGTAACGGTTTGTTTCATAATATCTAGATGATCACAACATACCAAATTAATTAGATTATTAGAATATATATAGGGCGCGTAAGTATTTATATTTGCGGGTATCGGAAACCCAATCTTACCCCTTCCCCAATCTCTAAATCTCTAATTCCGGTTGGCAGCGTACTCGTAGCCCCGTTGTTGCGGGTAATCCGTTATCAGTAAAATTTGTTTCCCGTCTTATCACATAAAAAAATGTAGGGATATGAACTGTGGGACACGTTAGTTTTTCAGTTAGGTACTTATAAGAAGGCGGTGAAAAAGACCCCAAGAAAGTATTCATTTGATGGCAATTAAATTCCGCAAATAAATAACATTAATTAACAGTCATCATCTGCTGTCGCTCAAAAACAATAAGAGTGAGAACATTTTATGTTTTTAAAATTATCCTTATCTAGGCAATTGCTTACATAATGCTGTATGTAAATGAGTTTCTGTAAAAATATAATTAACTATTTTAATTTAGTATAGGTACCTACTAATAATTAAAACACACGTAAAATTTTAATGTAAGTACTAGTTACTACATCTTATATTCGTTAATACGTATTTATTTAATAGATATCGTTGTCTTTATGTAGTAAATTATATTAGGTAAGTAGTCAAATCACAAAATGACTGATTTTCAGGATTGTCTCCAAGAATACCTAAGTATACATAGAAGTTTGGAATGACCTACACTGCGTACTTTATAAAATCAAATATAATGAAATCTTTTTTATTGGCGACCAAAGAGCAGACTGAATACCTGATGGTAAGCAAAAGGCGAAGCCAATGGACATCCAACCCACCGAGAAACGGCAGACGCTCTCCGGAAGAGCGGGTCTGCGGACGGCGAGAAAGGGTAGCTCGCCAATAGACCAGCACTGACTGAGCCCTACAAGGCTGATGTTCAGACAGGGTTGCGAGATTAGCGCAATGTGGCACCGCGGCCTCGGCGTAAGGCTAAGAACTCACGGAGCGATTTTGAACCGTGCCCGCCGCGGTAGCAAAACTGCGGTTTTATTCCCAAACTCACGAGACCGGTTATTTGCGCGGTTACACAGCCGCCGCGGTTGCGATCATCGCCCGCAAACGTGGCGGGCGATGATCGCAAGATTGCAAGACGGGCGGTTAACGATCAGTTAAGGTCCAGACCGCCATGGACACACACCAGAAACGAGCCGTTGCATTATATTTACTTCACAGAAGACCCGCCGGCCCCCGCGGTCGCTCGCCAACCGATCGCAAAGCGCGCGGGTGCCACCCGCCGAGGCTGCGGGTAACCGCGGCCCGCGCGATTCTACTAGTTGCCCGCCGGTACAGCGGGAGCCGCATACAACCGCGTACACCGCGGGCGTAAAACGCGTCGTGAAATGTGCTTTAATTTTTTATATAAATATTTGAATTCTACAGAAGCTGCGGGCCCGCAACCGCAGCGGACGCGGGCGGAAATCGCTCCGTGAGTTCTTAGCCTAAAACAGGAAAAGGAACGGGGGTAGGGGGGAGGGGGTTAGTCAGTAAGCCTAAGAACTCACGGAGCGATTTTGAACCGTGCCCGCCGCGGTAGCGGAACTGCGGTTTTATTTCTAAACTCACGAGACCGGTTATTTGCGCGGTTACACAGCCGCCGCGGTTGCGATCATCGCCCGCAAACGTGGCGGGCGATGATCGCAAGATTGCAAGACGGGCGGTTAACGATCAGTTGAGGTCCAGACCGCCATGGACACACACCAGAAACGAGCCGTTGCGTTATATTTATTTCACAGAAGACCCGCCGGCCCCCGCGGTCGCTCGCCAACCGATCGCAAAGCGCGCGGGTGCCACCCGCCGAGGCTGCGGGTAACCGCGGCCCGCGCGATTCTACTAGTTGCCCAGCGGGAGCCGCATACAACCGCGTACACCGCGGGCGTAAAACGCGTCGTGAAATATGCTTTAATTTTTTATATAAATATTTAAATTCTACAGTAGCTGCGGGCCCGCAACCGCAGCGGACGCGGGCCCGCAGCTTCTGTAGAATTCAAATATTTATATAAAAAATTAAAGCACATTTCACGACGCGTTTTACACCCGCGGTGTACGCGGTTGTATGCGGCTCCCGCTGTACCGGCGGGCAACTAGTAGAATCGCGCGGGCCGCGGTTGCCCGCAGCCGCGGCGGGTGGTACCCGCGCGCTTTGCGATCGGTTGGCGAGCGACCGCGGGGGCTGGCGGGTCTTCTGTGAAGTAAATATAACGCAACGGCTCGTTTCTGGTGTGTGTCCATGGCGGTCTGGACCTCAACTGATCATTAACCGCCCGTCTTGCAATCTTGCGATCATCGCCCGCCACGTTTGCGGGCGATGATCGCAACCGCGGCGGCTGTGTAACCGCGCAAATAAGCGGTCTCGTGAGTTTGGAAATAAAACCGCAGTTCCGCTACCGCGGCGGGCACGGTTCAAAATCGCTCCGTGAGTTCTTAGCCTACGAGTTTGAAACTCTCTTTCACTTGACTCCAGGCGGGAGAAGTCATTTGATTATTTTCCCCTGACAAAAAATAGATTACACGAAACACATTTTTTGTGAAGAAAATTTTTGTGTTTTTCTGTGAAGCAGGATGGTATATCACTCCGGTGGAGCCGATTCATTCGTGCGGAAACATGGTATATAGATACATAAATTTACCTATATTTATACCTTTATATTATAGTAATTACAGTTTTAAAATAAACTGAAAGTATTTGCAATAGATACCTACTTAATATTCATTTTAATTGGGTTTTAATACGATAAAATGTTGAAAAATAACTATACTTTTATTCATCGATCGATCGATACACTAAGTTTTAGATATTTTTTAGCTAATTTTTTTAAAATAAGTAGACGTCATAATTAAATGTTTCATACAATTTTCATAGAAAAGTATCGTTTTTGACATTTGGATAAAAGTATTGAATTTGACTAGTTGCAAACAACCGTATTATAAAGAATTAGGATCAATAGGGAATTAAACAAAATGTTTTATCAGAATCTAATGACGTTTAGGTACATATTAAAGTACGATATACATACATAATATATACATATAAGCAATATAATTAATATCGAATGTTTTTCTGTGTAAATTTCTACCGAGTTGTTTTGAGTGCCTTAATTGTATTATCGAATGGTCGCTGACATTCGAGTCGGGGTTCGATTTTCGGGCTAGACAAGGCACTATTGTTTTTGTTCCCATACTAAACTCAATAAATTACATCCCATCTTAAGATAAATTAGTTAGGATATTGCGTTAGTATGTTGTATCTATGTGACGTCATATTATTGTGCGTAGAAAATAACGACAATAAAGCATTGTTCAATCAATTGTGTGTATTAATATTACAATATTTAATGTGGAATATTTTTTACCTAAATGTAATGTTCTTATGGGAAAGTTAAAACAAACTAAGTACTTATTTTTAGTTGAGGTAACATCTCAATTCCTGATTAGATATTATGTATTAGAATAAAATTGTGACTCCAAAATAAGCTCAACGGTTTTCACACTGAAACTTTATCATTGTCGATATAAAAAATACGTAAAAGATACTTATGAAATAATGGCCCTTGCTCTATGAGCATGGTTAGTTAAAGAAAAGACATAAGTCCGACAAGGGTATACATTTTTTTATTTGTATTTTTTTTATGGTTAGCGATAATGCGGCCTCCCCTAGAGCGCGCCTACCTATCCGTAAGCAACCTATTTACTCTAAAAATATTAGTTTAGTATTGTGAATAAAAACCTTACAGAATTCGGATTTGAGACTCTAATGTATCGTTTTTATATTTAGTTTATTTATAGTAAAAGTTTTATTGAAAGGTATAATTTACTAAAAATTTGATAACTTTTATTGATAAAAAATTACTTCGAAGCCACAGACAGTCCTTCATCTGCTAAGACCTGTAAGTAGCCGTGGTTAGTAAATCAGTATATTTTTCTCATATTTCATCTAAATCTAAAGGGTCCTTACAAACAAGGAAGCCATTCACAAAACGATTAGTTCTTAGAATTGTAGTTATTATTGTTATGTAAAACAAGGTCGTGTTTACTTTGTATGGTTACGGTGTTCGATTATGTAGTACAGTAAGCGAAAAAAGTAGGTTAATACTGCCCAAAATCCGAATAATTTTTATCATCTTTGTAAGTACACATGTACTTAATTAGTATAACCGAAAAACATAATCACTAATGTACTTTGTATTTTGTAGATTTATATTACATAATGTTGAAGGTTAATTTTGGTTCAACAATAATTAATGGATCACACAAAGAGTTGTACAGTGCGGGAATCGAACAACATGGAACGCCGCAGCCGGTTGCCCAGCCATCGCGTCAACCGTGCAGTCAAAATACATTCATAGATTTTATGAGCAAGGGAGAGTTAATTGCAATAATTCAGTTTTCTTGGTAATGTTTGAGCCCGGAGCCCCAAAAATTCAATAAAACTTCCTGAACCAAAGAACCCCTCGATCGGCTAAAATCAGTGTTTTAGAATAGAATAGACATACAGAAATGACGCTTACTTCAGCTACAGCTACACTAGTTATAATATTTATTCATTTATTTATTTTTTTATGTTATAGGAGTTCAGACAAACAAACGGATTACCTGATGGTAAGCAATCAACGCCGCCCATGGACACCCACATGGCAACAACAGAGGAGCTACGAGTGCGTTGCCGACGTTTTGGGGATTCGGGATTTGGCAGATTTAGGGATTGGGGACAGAGATTTGGCCTCCGGTAACCTCACTCACACGGTGAAACACAACGCTGTGGTTGTTTCACGCCAGTTTTCTGTGAGGTGGTATCACTCCGGTCAAGCCGACCCATTCGTGCCGAAGCATGGCTCTCCCACACTTACTATACAAATTCATGTACAAAGCAACATTTAGGTTTTTCATAAGATATGAATCATTGTCTAAAATACAAAATAATTTTATTAATAATATTTTGCAGTTTTAAATATTTTATTGTAATTAGTTACCTATAACCAACATTAACAACGTAATTAGCAACATTGAAAAAAATTTGTTACGAACTGTATTTTAGCTGCTGACCGTAGACAATGCTATGTATGTGAAGACTCTACTTATACCTACTTTTTGAGTTTGCTTAGTTTTGAAATTTAAATTGAAAATTTGGAATATAATCACTTAGTTTCAATGTCAACTTCTTCAGAACTTCATTATTTTTAAATTCCCAAAACATAAAATATTGTCTAAGTATATTTTGTAGCCTGCATAAAAGATAGAAAACACCTATAAAAAAGAGGTAGGTACTCATATTGTCCTCATAACAACATATTTACGAGATGTAGGTACCTACTCGTAGCCCAAGGCCTCGCGGGAGATCGATCTCGACGAAGTTCTGCAAAAAGTTTTAATACGTATAGCGATACCTGACATTGCACATCATACTATGTTTAGCTAGAGCTAGTTACTCTACTTATGTGTGTTATCGTTACCTAATACTATGGATAATAATATAAGATTAATTCGCTAAAAAATTAATATTTCAACTACAATTTGTGGCCTACACAATCGTGCGGTGCACTACTGTGCTCCGTCAGGTAAAAAGTTCTAGTTGTCATATTGTCATGACGTCTCGATACTTAAGCTCACGTAGAGCTTATGGTCGTTTAGTCAATAATTGCTGGTTACTATGTAAGTTGAGTGGCTACTGTTTGTTGTGATGTGCGTGGCGCATGCGCGCTGGCGAGGCGGGCGGCTGCCCAACGCCTGTAGTCGCCAGTACTCGCCAGCCGGCGACCACACTTATCATCGGAGGTTCGGCGTGAGCGCGCCTCTTGTACCGCGCGAAAATCTACAGCTAATATTAGCATGCGACTGCGTGAGTCCGCCGCTACGGAGTCGCTCAGTCCGCTTGAATCGCTCCGCTGAACGCTGTACACTCGCGCGGAGTACGGGCGAGGTCGCGCAGGGCGGGCGGCGCGCGCCGGTGCGCCCCGGGCACCCTGTCTCACAATACACTACCCACCACACGCACAAAAGGACGTGTTCCCAAGTGACACGCGATTAATACAACAAATCATTAAGCATTTCATCAAATTCAGTATTATTTAGTATTCTGTGAAGTGAATATCGTACGTACGTGTCTTGACGATCCAGATTTCCATCGGGACATATGATTCATCAGTGAAATGTGATCAGTTGGCCTCTGTTTGACAGATCACCGCACATCACAACAGGTAATAAAAAAGTTTTGTTATGTTTTAAGGTAGTGATGTGGACTTTTTTGTGGTGTAGCATCTGAAAATGTTACAGGAGACGACTGGATAAGTTATGAAAATTTATCAGTATATTCTGAAGCTAGGCTATGTGCCATGTGCTAAAAACCTGGAGTTAAAAGTGCGATGACTGTTCTAAAGGTTAATTTGTGTACACCCACTATAATTTCATAGATGAAATTGTTTATCTTGTGTTGTGCTTCTTAATATCAATAATAACTAAATTTGGGACCCAAATTACTTACTTGTGGCAACCATGCATTGTTGACAAATTTTATACCTGGGTACGTAAATTTACTTAGGTTTTATTTAGTTAGTTAGTATTTAGTTTATGCATTTTATGATCAACCTACGGTAACAGTCATCTATCCTCCCTGATCTCTAATTGCTTGAAATCCTGCTAATGATATAGATGCGAAAGTTTTTAAGAATTGATGGATGTTTGTTGCCCGTTGACGTTAAAATTAATGATTGGATTTTAATGAAAATTGGCGCAGTGCTAGATTATAGTTTGGAAGATCACATAGCATTTTCACCCTTGTAATTCGGACCTGCTGATAAGACCTAGTATGTTTTATTTTATTTAAAGTTATTGCTTCATTTCACATTATCAGTTTTTTGCGAGATTAATATTTATTAATACATAAATCTTATAAATATTGTTAACACACATATAGTACGAAAGTCTAATTTACGGTTTAGTAAAATTCTAAAGAATACTTACACCCGGTTTCTGAAAGGCTTGTCAACGCTAAAATTAACTAATCTCCTGTTAAATCTCTTGTCAAGTCATCTGATTGGTTGTTGATAATTCAGTCAACCAATCAGATAACTTGACAAGAGAATAAATTGATTTTAACATTGATCGGCGTTTCGGAAACCGGCGGTTAGCCTTTTTTGAAAATTAACTCTTTGTTTTTATACTTAGACATTTTGAGTTCTTCATGGACTAAAATACTCTTATTATGAAGAAGTTTAAAATAAATACTTAACATAACTGCATTAGATATACGAATTACAGCTGGCATACTTGAAATGAAATTTATAAATAAGTCACTTTTTTACTACACATGAATACAATTTTACGCATTGCGAAATGACGATACAGGCTATAAATAGTCAATTCATAAGAAAATTAAGATTATTCATAATTTTTATATGAGAACCGTTGGCAGATCTCCAAAACGTAACGTTTGAATCACTGGGAATATCAACATGCATTGTAAACTTCCAAGAATGTTTAGTACATGAACGTGTAATACACAGTTTACGTTCATACGATCGACATCTTTATGACGTTTGGCGCTCTGATTGGCCTAGTCCAAACTAACCAACCAATCAGGACGCAAAACGCGGTGACGTTTCAATAGCGTTAACGTGAAGCAAACTTTTACTAGGTGCTCTTAATATGCACTCACTGGAGATGTGAGAGATCGATATTTCCACAAAGACTTGGATATGGGATATCAAGTCGGTATACCTATGTAGGAAAATTGTACATCATACAGCTCGAATGTCATACATTTTGCAGTAAAATTGATTTTGTATATTATATTACATAATTATGACATTAAAAAAAAACAAATGAATAAAAACGACCAACTAATCAACTAATTAGGTGTTCATCTAAATACATGTACCTAATCATAACAATAAAATATTATTTTGTTTGTTTTCAAAATTAGATTGTTTCAATCTGTTTTTTTTTTGGCTAATGTCACAGAGGTCCAATTTGCTAATGAGTATTTATTAAGGAGTTTGTAATCTAAAATCTAAAGAAGTCGGTTTAAATAGTTTTTAACACTCGGTGAGCGCAGTACGTTATACAGTATATCACTAGAGATCAGAAGACCAAAGAAGCAGTCAGCCTAATTCACAATAGGTGCGTATTCTCTTTTGAAGTCAAACGACGAAGTGACGGTATTCAACCAATCGTAAGGGTTTACTTCGAGTCAGTGCCGACGACCCTTTCAGGCGCGCCTATGTCTACTTGTCTAGCTAATTGAACTAGCGGATCGCCCCAGACGGTCCTAGGGAATACGAGCATTCAGTTCTTTGTAGACGTTTTGCAATTATTCATGCCTGCTTTCTTTTTTAAGTCTTTTTTTTATTTGAAAATGAGACGGTATTCCGTTGTGATAAGGTTTTTGTTTTGAGAGGGGAAAATCATTAAATGTTTGTTCTCGCATAGGGTAAGGTGAGAGTGTCTGACTCTTACTGAGTAAAAACCACCCCGTTCGTTCTCCTGCACCAGCCCGATGTTGGTACCTTCGTCGCGTTTGCCGTCTTTCGTCAACCCCTGTTGTCCTGTTTGGGACAGTTTTTGTTAACCTTATTTTTATTGCTGGATAGGGTTTGATAGGCCCCTTTGTGTGTTTGCATCACGTAAAATGAGATATATTTATATGATGTAGAAATTAATTGATGCAGAAATTAATTCTGCCAGGCCATACATCATATAAATAACAGCCAGATGAATACAAGATGCATTTTAACTTTTGCTATGATACTTACTTATAGGTATGTATATTAAACGCTTGTTTCGCCATCTTCTCTTATTAACGACACGATAAAGTTCTTCTTCTTCTTCTTTTTGTTTATGGCTCGTTTGTAAGTATTCGAAGATTTTGCCAACGTCGAGGTAGGAAATGATACTGTTATCGGTGTAAAAAAATCGAAAATAATGTAACTAATGATCGGTAATCAGTGATGTTTGTAGTGCTGGAAAAGGACAAAACAATTTGTTAGTATTAACGACACAAGGGTTAAAACATAAAACGAAGGGGAGTGGAAAGTAGATGTTTAGGTTAAAACCACGATAAGGTTACTTAATTATTTGAATCACATATAGTGCAAACGGAATACGTTCCATATTCAAATTCATTTCTGGTGGCTGAACAGACAGTGTGAAACGAGGCCTAGGGCCTAAAACTTTCTGTAACGGAACAAAAAAGTTAAATATTTATAATGTAGTTCATCTAAACACAACATAGATTTTTGAGTTAGTTGTTTGTGTTACATATAAAATAATTGCAAAGGAAAATAATAACAAAATAGCAGGGAAAAATACAACCACAATAAAATAATATTTAATTCTAACAAGTCGGTGTATCTGAATGTACATGCTTATATAGAATAACTGACCTCAGAATGTAGGTACTAAACTTATGTAGCCTACGACACATACTGTATTTCTAAATATCTATGCTAGCGACTATAGCGACGTCATTGTATTTTTGCGACGATAAAAGCTTACTTATTTCTTAAAAAAATTGCTATAAAATATTGAAAATTTAGTGTAGGCCTATATAGATCGACGAATAAAAGTAGTTATAGGCAGGTGGTTACATTTCAATATTTTTATTGTATTGAAACGTCGATTTAATTTATTATTGACTATCAAACTGCAACTATTTGATTACAAAACTATGAACAATTTGAAAATGGAAATATATTTAAAGTTTATTGTGTTGTTAAGCGAAGCCGCGGACAACAGTTGGCAGTCTATACAACCTTGTTATGTTTCGCACTATTAACGTAATTAGTGCTAGGCTTGTAAACTGAATTACTGATTAAATAACACAATTATACTATGACTAAGCTTATTGTTATTGGGTGAATTATATTATGACATTGTTCTGTACGTGGGTCGCTTTAAAGTATCTATAAGTTTATTTAAAATGAGATTTAAAGTTTTTTGCTAAGTAGAACATACAAAACAGAATTAGGTATTGACTCATTCTGAATTCAAAATTCTTCGTGTAAATTTTATATAAGATAATATTTAGTTATTTATGTAACACAAAATAGGCTCTTACAAGAAGGACAGACTAAGCGTTCTTAATTATTGGCAACTTTTTTTAGAACGTTGTTCCATATTACGATTTTTTGCTATGTTTCGTAGGTGCTTTAAAACATATAAAAAAAACATGCACAATCAGACCTGATCTACAACAACAATTTGTGGACCACTCAAAGATTTGTTCTGAACCGAACTCGCATCACGTTGCTTAGCATCCAGTTTCTTAGATACTACACCAACCATACAGTATTTAACTTTGTCATATATCTAATAAGTATATAACTTATAAGTCCTATATCACTTAAATCCTATAATATGCGAAAGTTTACAACAATGACTGTTTGTTACTCTTCCACTCACTGATATGCTAAAATGGCATAGAACAGGACACTTAGTGGCTACCTATACCTTATTGATTATATTTTCTGGAATAGTCTGGAATAACATGTACATACTCGGGTAGGCTACCTTTTTACCCTAGTAATGCGAGAGAAGCCGTTTAGGAAGAAGATGGCATTGGAATTAAAGATATAATGTGAAGCAGTCACTACTTAATTATAAAATAATCTACTGATTAACAATTTGAAGATAAAAACAGAATTGATTTACAGTTTTAGAATGAGGAAACAATCCGATCTAATTGTTATCCGCATAAGTAAAAACAATAAAAAAAACTACGCGAAATAAATGTTCAGTAATTAAAAATTAGGATAAATAAAGCTTAACACGTAGTTAGTAACAATAACAATACATTTAGAACGTTATTCTCAATGACATACGGTTGCAATTTATATTTTATTAAAGTTTACTACAGGGACATTTATCAAATTTTCAGTTTGTATTGAAATGCAACGAGGAAATTTAATTAAAAACGAACGTGTATACTTCTTTATGAAGGTTTATCACGGATTTCTTTTATTAGAAATGCGTTTTTAAAGTGTTCTACAATACTACCTATTAAATATGCTTTATATTTCTGAACACTATTCA